AGGGTTAAAAACCAAACAAAATAAACCATTTTGGCAGTTTAGTCTGGTTGTTCAATTGCATCAAATAATTCACACCCTTAAACACTACCATTTAAATTAAGTCACAGACAAATTTGAGAAATATAAATAGAAGAGAGAATGCTCAAGAATCACCTACTTAGATTTGTTTTTCGAGAAATATAAGAAAGCAATATCAAACCATAATCAAGCCCTATAGATATTTTGTGCTAAAAAATCAGTTCTTTACTAGGTATCTGCATACAATTGAAAAAGAAAAAGAAGAAACCTTCAGGAGCTAAACATGTGCCCACAACCAAAAATGTTTTGTCTTTATCTTTCCCATCTTCATAAAATCGAGTTAATGAGGAGAGTACAAGCCATGGGATGCATCTAAAGCACGTTATTTTATGAAAACATAATGCCCAAATGGGAGAACATGCCACAAGTAACCTTAAGTGGTTTGTTGCAATTAAAATTATTACAAATGAGGGAGTGCAGCAGGCCTCTCTAGCATTCAGACAATAAAATGCTATTCGTACTTTATCATGCATGGATTTATCTACAATGGAGGGACAGAACAGTCATGATCAAGCCTAAATGTCATGTCATAATCAACAAACAAGGCCTCCTCTCCAATTTCAAAATGTGTTTGCCCAGCATGAGCCAAAGCCGGGTTTAGATTATTTCTTCAAGGTTCAAAACTATGCCTTTAACATACATTAAATAGCCTAAGATCAACAACCCCAAACATTTTTTGGTTAAGTTTCTCATGAATCTAGCATATCCCGTTAAAACGAAGAGATAGATCTAGATTTATGAGGATTGGAGATTGTTACATCAAATTTGCCACAAGCCCGTGGCATCAAGTCTGTCGCATAAGCCTCTGGCTAAGAACTGGCTTAATTCTCAGCTGAGGCTATTGACATCTAGTAGAAGTTAGAACCTGCTAAATTCAGAATAAAAGTTAGCATAGCAAGCCACAATCATAATATTCAATTTCTTGTGATTTTAGCAGATACTAAGGACCCACAGAAGCTGAAATCAATAGGAAATTTGTATGCTTGCAGCCTAAGCATTATAGAAAATAATAGAAGATTTTTGGGCACATCCAGCTCATAATGGAAAAAAGGGGACATATTGCTTAAACATTGAAGGAGGACCACTTTAAAGGACTAACAAGAGAGGACCACATAACCAAATGGAGTACATTATTATCAAATGACCATATATCAAGTGTGAACGTTGAGGAAGGACCACTTTTTTGTAAGGAATAAAGAAGCAATCTCATGGAACCTAGGAATATGTGGTAAGATTTTAATCATAATTTACCAAGCCGAAGTCTTCTTTGATCAAATTTACGAGTGCTAATGACAATAGATTCAATGAGCATGCTCTAAAAGTTCCCAAAATCTGTGTTCTGATTTAGAATATAACCGGTGGCTTGGGCGTAGCGAGGAATATCCCATAAGCAGCCAACTCAAATTGTAAGGCATGTGATTTTTTAACAATTTCAGGCAGAGTTTCCATATTTCTTAAAGCAAAGGTTTTGGCTCCTAAGTTTTATTAAGAATGACAATCAACTATGAGCTCAAGCCACTTCATTTGTTATGTATATCTTCTTTCCACTTCATTTTTTAATGAACAAGATCATCTCTTCTCGATCCCATGCTGCAACTTGTTAGTAACTTGGATCTGATTTAAGGGTATCATGGAGGTAACTCAGTTTATCAAGAACATGTTAAAGTATGTAGTAATGGAGCTGAATGCTTTCCCATTTTTAAAAAACAAAATAAAATGCTAATAACTCCCTTTTCTTTCATTCTTTAAGCTTATGTAGCAGTCTCAAAATAAAACATGAGCTCCTACTTTGAAAGCTACAACCTTTTTGATTGTTTGATAAAAAAATCAAACCTAATTCCTACTTGTTTGGCAATAAGTAAATAAAGAAGGATATCAAAGCATACCATACATATCCAATCAAAACTTAGCTAAGAAAAAAAGGAACTGATTTAATATATATATATATATATATATATATATATATGGGTGCATGAGAAATCAGAAAAGAAGTGTGAGATTAATATTCAATTCAAAATGGTCAAATAATAAACAAAACTTAAAGCAAACCTGACAAGTGACAAACATAACTAATAAAAAGGAAGCATGAAACATCACAAACCGCAAATCAGTGCTTCCAATAGAAAACCAGTGAATGCCCTCAGATACTGTAAAGAACAAAGCTTTGTGCTTGGAGAAAACAAAAAAGAATACAAGAAGGAAGTCCCAAAATCCAATTTATCTATTAGAGATGCACCCAACAACAAAAACCCATAAGGAAAATTCAAAGTTATTACCCCACCAACCAAGCCATCATCAAAATTTCAGTAGAACAAAAGAATGGTGGATGTTGATGAAACATCAAACTTACACATACCCATTAACGATCACAGAAAAAAAGTTGAGAAGAAATTGTAAAAGAAAAATGGATGACCAGCAAAGACGAAAGAAATAAACACCCATTAGACAACATTGGCAGAAAATAAAATCTACCAGAGAAAGAAAAAAGTTGCACCTTTTAATCTAGACCAATTAGAAAAGGGGGGAGAAGAGAAACCCACTAAAGTAATACCATGACAATCAAAAGTGGCGTACTGATCAAATGAAAAAAAAAAAAAAAAAAGGAAAGAAGAGAGGGAAGAGAGAGAGAGATAGAGAGACAGAGAGAAAGAGAGACAGAGACAGAGAGACAGTAGAGAAGAGAGAAAGGGAACCTGTTGAATATGATCAGTAGTGACATTGTTGGGATAATAGGCTGCCATCATGGGCTGCATCTGCATCAGGTGCTGCTGCATTTTTTTCTTTCTTATAGACACACACCCAAAAGAAAAACAACACAAAGACACAAACTTTATTTTTATTTTTTTTTTCTCTCTCTCTGAATATATATAGCTTTCTCAGTCCAACAACACAGAGATGAAAGAGTCGAATCACTGCAACTGGAAGAGTGATAGATATAGATGCCTCTGCTTTTCCTGTGTTTTTTCACTTTCTCCCCTCTCAGTCTCACACTAGAGATAGATATAAAGACACTGTGAAGACTGTCTTGAGTAAGAAGATATTATTATAGCTTGTAAAATGTAAGGCAGCCAGTAAGGACTGTACAACTTTGAAAATAAGAGGGGAAGAGAAGGGGGGAAGAGGGGAAGGGTTGAGTTGGTGTTTTGGGCTTTGGGTTTTGTTGGCTTCTATCATCTCTCTCTCTCTCGTGGGAAGAGGTCACGTGATCAAGAATATATATGTGTATGTATATGTCTAACAGGGATATATATATATATATATATATAGAAAGGGCGAGAAAGAGAGAGAAAGTATGAACTTTAGTGGTCTGTATGAGGGCTCACATTTGAAACAGGGCTACATGTCTGGTTGGTCTAAGACCGCTTGGTTCATCGGTCTCTTTGATTTGATTTTTTCCTTTTCTCTTTAGTTTATAAGAAACCTACAATTTATAAAATACTAAAATAATTTTAAAATATGAAAAATAAAATTAATAATTTTCAATAATAAAATTGAGTTTTTCAATAATTTATTAAATAAAAAAAAACAATTGCTTTAATTTTTTTCTTTAATTTTAAACTTATAACAGTTAAATTATTATTATCATTATTATTTTGTTAAAAATAATTTAAAAAATATATATTTTTTTTTATAACAAATGCTCTACTACCGTACATTATTTAATACATATTATGTACATTATTACATACATCCCATATATTATATAATTTATTTGTAACACCAAAATTATAACCAAGTAATTACTAATAACGGAAAGTAATAACGCGTAACATTAAATAAATGGTTGGTCGATACTAGATGTGTCGTTACCATGCGCATAAATGTCAACTGTACTATATGCTTCATAATCATTTCTCGACGAATTATATATATACTTAAAGCTCGCTATTTTAGTTTTATTTTACATGTTAGATAAGTTCTTCTAATTTTGTCGAACTCTTAGACTTTCGGAACACTTTAAATTATCTAATCTTCAATTGATCTTAGTTCATGTACCGTTGAAGTTAATGTTTGTGTTCGAAGATTGTAGAGTCATTCTTAAATTTCGACCGGACGAACATAAGAGTGTATTATTGGGTCGCAAGATCATGTAACCAGGTCGTCCACTGTGTCACCAGGGGAGGCCATGTCAATTTTTTGGGGGCAGCATTGAAGTTTTCAACGAGGGTGTTGAAGAGTATATAAATAAGTGTATTGTAAAGATTATTGGGAGTTGGGTCCCAATAGGTCACATGACCCACACCAGTGACGTCCAGACCATTCCCAACTGGCTCTCTGATAACCACCACCACCACCACCACCACCACCACCACCAACACCAACAACAAAGACTTATCCACAAGGCACCATTCCCCGTCATCACTTTTTTTCCGGGTCGGACCATTCCCCAATTTCTATTTCCGGGTCGGGTCAACAATTAAATTATAAATATAGTGGGGCCGGGGTCAAAGTCAACGCTCGGTGGGAAAAAGTTGATGATGAAAAGGTAGGTGATGCTCCCAGCTCCCCAAACATGATGGGTGGTTAGGGCGTGTCATTGATTTGTGTACCCCAAAATTCCCAATCCTGTCTTTTTATTTTATTTTATTTTTTTTTTCTCTTTCACTTTCCCACGCGCTCCCTTCTTCTCTCCCACGACGCGCGCTCTATATATATATATATATATATATATACACACACACATACATATATATCTACGTATATGCGTGTGGAGGGTCGTAGACATTCTTGGACAAGAAGAAAAATGAGTATCTTTCCCATTGTGGTAAATTTATGTGTGTATGTATATATGTATGTTTTCCACTATGTACCTGCATTGTTCGTGTGTGTGTGTGTGTATATATATATATATATAGATGTACGTATGTACATATACTTCTCCACTCGCGCTCTTCTTCTCTCCCACAACACGCGCTGCATATATATATATATATGTATGTATGTATGTATGTATGTATGTGCGTCCGTCTAATCTGGATGTATGTATTACATTTAGGATAGCGTCGAAGGCGGTACACATTCTTGAAAAAGGAAGAGAAATGGGTTTTCTTCCCCACTGTGGTACATATATATGTGTATGTATATGTATATGTATAGATGTATGTATGTATGCACGTATACTTCTCCACGCGCTAGTCTCTTCTCATCTAAGTCGTCGTCTCTCTCGTGTACCATACATAAGCCGTGGGTAAACAAAAGTTTTGGTCATGCACATACATTGTGTGTAATACATCTATATATCTATACGTATATATATATATATATGTACGTATATGCGTCTGTCTAATCTGGATGTATGTATTACATTTAGGATAGCGTTGAAGGTGGTACACATTCTTAAAAATAGGGAAGAAAAATGGGTACCTTCCCTACTGGGACGTACATACATACATACATACATAAATACATACATATATAAATATGTGTGTATGGGGGGAAAGAGTTTATTCGTTGAATAGTGTAGAAGCAGTGGTAAGAGAGAGAAGCAATAATTGCCAAACATGTTTTGTCTGCTACCTCCAATACACAGATATAAACAACAGTAGTAGAGTAAATTATTGGCTTTTCAACCAAAACCCTAAATAATTCATTCCTCTTCTGATGGTCAAAACCATACCTATGCATATACATATACATATACATACACTCTGCAACTAAGAACAAATTCATGATTTGATTTGATTGATGATGAACACCGCTTCAATTATTTTGGCTCAGAAATTCCAATGAGGATGACATTAGATCAGATCAGAGTGTAAAATTCCAACTCCACTTATAATTATAATATATAAATTCTAATTCCTACTCGAAAAATATAATATCTTTTTCAATCTCTATATATATATATGTATGTATACTAAAATTCAAAAGAGTTCAAAACCCAAGTTATAGTTCTTGTGTATATATATATATATAATTTACATATTTTTTAAATTATTTATTTTAGGTATTAAATTGAATAAAATTATGGGCCCATCTGTGCAAATAATAAATTCTTGGGGGAGGGTAAGGTGTGTGTGTATGTATATGTATATATATACAATTAGAGAATATGAGTCATACAAACGTAGGGATCGTGTCATAGAAAAGGGTGCCAAACAGTGCCTAGGTTCTGGAGTCAAAAGACAGCTAAGCCAAATTGAAGTGTGAATTGGATTGATGTTATGACACAATTCACATGCTAAGGCATTGTTTGGCTTTTATTTTTATTTTTATTTTTAAATATAAAAAATTGGCTTTTATTTTACCATGTGACTGCCGGGATGCTGGACCCACAAACTCGACACCTGTTAACTCAACACACTTTCATGGCCACATGCTCACCTCTCCCGCGTGAATAGCACGCTCAACCATTGTGTAATTGTCGAATCTATTTCCCTGGTTTTTTTTTTTTTTTTTTTTTTTTAACTCAGTTCGAGTATTAATTTAAAATGAACATTTAAATTTTTTATTTTTGTTTAAAAAAAATCAACATATATTCCAATTTACACGTGTTAAGCATACGTGCTTAGTCGGGATCGAACTTTCTACGAAATTCATAATTGCATTACTTATAATTTTCTTATCTGTAAACAAAATTAATTCAGAATTGTCTTCTGTTCCGAGATAAAATTTGTGTTCATGCGCTTCATGTTCGTCCGGAATTTGCTCTCAGAAATATAGTCATCCCTACCTCATCTTCTCAATCTCGCAAATTATTTTTTTATTTTTATTCGATCAAATTTATATGTATCGGATTTATAAATAATTAAACTCGAACTAATGACTTCAACCATGTTAATGTGATATTTTTATTACTGAGTTATATCTCTTTTACTATTAAAAAATAAATTTAAGTAATCTTAAGATAAATGGTCGATAAATTAAAAAAATATTTTTAAATAAAATATGTAAAATTTATTTTTAAAAAATGATTTATTAATATCTTTATGTTTATTTCCTAACTTTTTTTTAATTATTTTTAAATATTGTTTATGTGATATACATATAAATATATATATATATATATATATATATATACATTGTCTACCATTTTCACTTGATAAAAAAAGTCTCCCGAAATGTATGCATAAACTATAGATACATAAAAGCAGCCTAATGTTTATTTCTAATTACACACATATATTTATATATACGTGACAACAGTTAGAATGTTTTTGCTTCGTTAAGTTGAGATATTGGAGAAACTCAATATATATATATATATGTGTGTGTGTGCGTGTGTATATATATATATATATATATATATGTTTATATATTATGGTACAAGAAAATATATAGCCACACATTATACGTATATAAATAATTTGGTGATTAATACCTTCTAATCAAGTGTCCAAATTTGAAAATTTCATAATTATGAAATTTCAATTTCACGTTGTCTAATTGAACTCAAACTTCTGAAAAGTCCACTCACAAACTATGAACAAAATTAGTGACAAGAAATTTGGATTTTGAGTTGACTACACCCCCGTGACATCATATTATATATATATATATAATTAAAATAAATGTAACACAACCCAAATTTATTAATTAATTTTTTTTTTATTTTTTACGACCACTTTTAAATCAATTCAATATTTGAAAAAAAAAAATTAAAATACTAATATCAAATTAAAAAACATAGAATTAAATCAGAAGTATATATGTATTTACGATAGAAGATAACAGTATATCATGCGATTGATTTTTTATTAAATTAACACGTTCTAATGATATGATATCATAATAAAAAAATTTATGTATAATTTAAAGATCATAATTCGTATATTTATAAATAAATATTATTAATTTTTTTTATTTCTAATTTCGACCGATAATAAAATTAAAAATTACATAAGTGATTTTTATATATAAAAAAATTTACCCTTTTAAGTTTATATCACTGAGCGAGATATATATGTAGCGCCCGGAAAGGGTGAAAAAAAAAAAAAAGAGCCACGTCAGCAGCCACGTCAGCAGACCCAGTCAGCAGTCCTGACCAATTGGGACCTGCCACGTGGCAAGACCACGTCGATCCGGGACGGGCCACGTTGGCGATCCGCGTATGCGTGATCGGACGGCCCAGATGGAATCGCACGGACGGCCCATATTCAATCAAAAACGGATAGCCCATATTAAATCAAAATGGACGGCTGAGATCAAAAGGCAAAAGGGTATAAATAGAACCCCCACACCAGACCACAAAACCCTAGCCGCCTGCCCTCGCCGGAGAAGACGAACCAGAAGCCGGCCGCCGCACCGGGGAGATTTCCAACCGCCGATCGAGGTAAATTTCATATCCCCGACTCGTTTTTCCACGCTGATTTCTCCTGTGGCCAAATCGGAGCCAAAATCCCGGTCAAACGGCCGGAAAACACGGCCGAAACCCAGCGGCGCCGCCGCGCCCCTTCTCGGTTTTTGTCTCCGATGAGGCCCTTTCCGGCCTCCGTTTAATGCAATTTTTATATCACCGTGATCACCATTCTTTTCTCTACAGGTTGATCGGAGCCGAATCACCAAAACACGAACTTCACCGGAGAGCCGCCGCACCCGAGAGCACCGCCGCCGGTAAGCTTCGGTTTTTCGTAATTTTTTGGCCCCCAGAGGGCCCTAGGGTTGTTTTATCGCAAGGATCGATGCAAGTGTGGCCGAATTCGGCCGGAAACGGCCGAAAACGGCCAAACCGAGGCGAATCGCCGTCGCCGGAGCACAGCAGAGCCGCCGTGCCGGAATTGCAATATTGGCCAAAAAGGGGCCCTGGGCCTAATTTGGGATTTTTTGGAACACGTGCAGGTACCAGTAGTGCGTTTCAGTTCCCCGGGAAAAATTCAGGGAAAATTAGGGACAGCCTGTAGGCGCACTGTGAAGCCGTGTTCGGACTCCGAAACAAGTAAGGACCCCTCACCCTATTTCCTATCACGGTATTAAAGTTCAATAAATGATAAAACGGTATTTCATGAATCAACGAATGTGTGAAATTGCTTAAGGTCGCTAATGGAGCACGAGTCTAGTGTGGTTGTCGGTTAATTGTTATTTGCCATGTTTTACAGTTTTAAAAGCAGCATGAGGTTTTATGTTTTCATTTTATAGTTTCGTGTGCATATTTTACTGTTTTACCGATTATGGATTGAATGACTGGGATATTGATGCTGTATGTTGTCTGTTTGGCATAAATTACTGTTTTGCTTGTTTGTATGTGGATTGATGATGCTGACTGAGGGAAAAGAGAATGATAGATTATGTAAATGGGTAATTGTATAATGTGGTCAGCCTGACTAGATATCCTGGGAGATGGTGGACGGACCGGGTCCGTAGAGAACCCTACCGGGATTGTGGTCTCCCATACCGGACGGGGTATGGAGATCTTATGTGTTTTGGCGCCCATACCGGACGGGGTATGGGGACGGCCCGTTTCACCCTCATACCGGACGGGGTAATGAGGTTTATAGTTTTGGCGCCCATACCGGACGGGGTATGGGGACGGCCCTGAAATATGATTTCAAGTATTAAGGGTTAACGGGTAGCGGGACCCCTATGGATCCCCATGGATACTAGTGGGCTGGTAAAAGAGGAAAAATATGTTGTGTAACGATTGAATTACAAAATGCTTGATAAGTATTATGTTATACAGTTCATATATGATTTCATGATGATGATAATGTTATTGCTTTCGTATACTGTTTTATAGATTCCATCGAGGTAAGTGGATGGTGAAGGATTTATTATTGATAAAAGAATTTGTTGTAAATTATGCTCCATTGGTCTTTTTGTGTTTTCTACCCACCTTTACCTCCGTGACGGTGAGATATCGTGATGTCTTTACTGGGCTAATGTAGCTCATTCCTTATTTAATCATTTCAGATCAAGAAGACATCGTTCTCGAGCCGGTTCCGCAGGAGGACGACGAAGGGGACGCCTAAAGACTCCATAGTCATATTCGTAGCTTTTATTTTCAAGTTTCTCCTTTAAATAGTTTGATCTTTTATATTTTGTGAGCACGTTTTTTGTTTTAGTGTAAGGGATATTAATCGAATTTTGACTTCGCTTCCGCATTTGATAGTTTTAATACACATTTTATTTTAAATTTACGGGGCTGTTACAATATATATATATATATATGTTTAAATAAACATTTAAAAGGCATAAAAAAAATAAGAATCAAACAATTTCATTATTAGCAACTTCAAATAGATTATTTTACATCACAAGCACAATTTTGCTTCCAAACAATTGTGCCCAAAAAATGGAGTTGGGAAAAAAAAAAAAGAAAAAAGAATATGTTAAATTTTACAGCTTCATGATCATACAACAAATATATATATATATATATGTGTGTGTGTGTGTGGTGTGTGTGTATATATATACTCTTTTGAGTAAAAAAAAAAAATAATTAATTATTGAACCAATAAATTAATCAAGAACTCGAATCTTGTTTCTGGGTCTCGTTGGCACCGGAGTTCCCCGCCGTGACAGCCCCAAAATCGACGACAATATCTGGAAACGCGGCGGCCGGAGCACGCGGGAACTGGCCTGCGACGTCCATTTCACTCAACGTACAGCGCCCACGGTTCCGGCCGGGAATGAACGTGCATGGGTTGCCACCCGACGGCGGCACAGGACCCCTTTGAAGAGACTGAACTATTAGGTTCTTCGCCAGCCATTGTTCCTCATCCAGTAACCTCACCGCCGCTGTTTTCTGCTCCAGAAAACACGATACTAACAAAACGGCGATTGCCCATTTCGCCATTGTTGTGAAAGATTCGCTTCTGATTTGCACGCCCATTATTCGCAACGACGTGAAAAGTTGATGAGCGGGAGTTTGAGTGGAAGTAATCGAGATTGGGGGATTAGTGTTTGTTGTAGACGATGAAGTGGGTTCTTGGAGGGGAGGGGGGAAAATCAATGGAGTTTAAGTGTACATACATATATATCAGTGGAGATGGAAAAAGATAAGATATTTTTCGAGTAGGAATTAGAATTTATATGAGATAATTATAAGGGGAGTTGGAATTTTACACTCTGATGGGATTTAAAGTCATCCTCATGGG